CCCCCCCCCCCGCCCACGAAATAGGATTTTCGTGTTTGGAAAATAGACATTTCCCCCTTCTTTTTGTCAGGTTTTTTTTGGAGGTACAAAATTTTTTTTTTTACACTTAGCCCCCCCCCCACTTTCAATGTGCTTCCGACGCCAATGCAACTTTACCCCTTTTAGCCCTATGGTAACTTTCAAACCCTAAAAAAGTTTGACAAGCTAAAAAAAAAAAAGGAAAATGTGTCCATTTCGTACAATTTCGTACAAACTCGAAAATCCTGTCGGGGGTGGGTGGGTAGGATCGAACTTCTGGCCTACATTATAATAAAAAAAAAATGGGGTGGCTATAAACTTGCCAAAGGTACTCATTACTTGTGTTACTGTACCATAGTCATGCATAGGGTTGCGATATCAGCGTTGTCAAATACTGCTATTAAGCATAAGATGTTTGCTCTTTAAAAAAATCACGTATCAATAGGCCTATCTGTTTCTTAAATATGAACTTTTTTCATCGAGCAGCATCTTGAGCAACCTCACATGCATTTTAACAGCTTCTCTGTGATCATGGTCATCATCTGTCATCTTAAATACTCAAATTTATAGCTTTTTTTACACATTAAAAACAAGATAAATACCTCAAAAGCTGCTCAAAGAACTCATTAGTGTATCAGTAAAAATAATTTGGTACATTCGGCAAAAGGTTAATTCATTCCATGCTAAAATATCTCGACAATGTAGATGTAAATAACGTAATCTTTGTAATGCCGGATGTTTTCTATGCATCCCGGTGAGGGCGCTGCAATCGGAGGGAGATCGTATAGTGATATCTATTGTGACGTCATAGGAGTCGGCGGTCCCTTCGTTTTAGGTCTATGCTTGAACGAAGTTATACACGTCCCCCCCCCCCCTCCTGAATCCGCCTATGGTATATAAATGATTAGTCTTTTAGAATCAATTGATCAAGGTATGTAAGACAAAGAAGAAAATAAATAATCTGTCCTCGATAATTTTGAAAATAAATAATCTGTCCTTGACAGGCATAAAAATAAATAATCCGTCTCAAAAAAATTTGCCAGCCCCCCCCCCCCCCCCCCTCAGAATCAAATGGTCGTCCCCTTACACCAAAATATGAAAAAATGACTTCACTGTGTAAAGACTTATTTGAATCACCATGTATATGAAAATCAAAATGTGATAAGGTTAAAAGAGTTGTTGTATATCTCAAAACTTCTTGTCTAGGGGCTTAAAATGGTCAATATAGACATTCTTATTATAAAATCATTTAAGTGCCCTTGGATTAAGAAACTAACAAAATACAACAATTAGGCCATGTCTAAATGTATTCTTAAAAATTAATGGTCGGACATTGTAAACAGTTTAAAATACTTGATTTTTGGGATGCATTTATCGCAGATATTTTGATACCTAAAATAATGATTTTTGGTATGATGTTTTTACCCCATGCCATGTCATGAAGAATACTGAAAATAAAATGTATGTGAAAAACAACTTCTGTAATACTTCAGTATGGTTTAATTCTAATTAATACAATATAGCAATATTTACATTCACTTTCTTTCCCTCTATTAAATTGCATTGGTTGATTTGAGTGATATTTACGCATAACACAGAAGACCCAATCACCAAATTGGTGCGTAGGAATACATTCAGTATTCCTTCAGTATTTCTCGAAGAACGTGAACTGACTCTTCTCGCGACTTCAAACCGGATCACGGCCTTATATTATACTTACGCTGATTAATACATGTATTTTATTGATGTAAATAAATTTTGACGGTTAAATGAATTCATTTGATTAATTTCTTAGTGTACCAAAAGTAAATTCATTAAATCACAGAAAGAAAAATAAAATTGTGTTATTAGAATTTAAAACGCTGTCAATATTTTTGTCAGCATAATTCGGCTGTTCCAATGGCTCTTCCGCTAATTTCGCATTACTCGTTGAATAAGTCATGATCATAGCTTTTTAAAAACAAATCGTATTTGCGGGAAGGAAAAAATGTTTAAAAACCTAAATATAAGCATTGAATCATTATTTTTTTTTAGTCTGCAGTCTCATAACTGCAGCGATGTGTGCATATAAATTTTCATAACGCGCTAGCGCGCGTTACTCAATTTGTATTCACACGCCGTTGCAATTATAAGACCACATCTTTCAAAAAAATATTGATTCAATGCTTAATTGAATCATGATTTTTTGAAGTATACAGTCTCATAACTGCAGCGGTGTGTGCATACAAACTGTGTAACGCGCGCTAGCGCATTATGAAAATTTGAATGCACACATCGCTGCAGTTATGAGACTGCAGACTTAAAAAAATCATGACTTAATGCTTAATATATTTACATTTTTTTAACTTCATGCCCTGTCTGCAAATGTGATTTATACCCTAAAATTCCTATCTTATCCTAAAGGTAAGTTCATATTAATGGAAGAGCCACAGTTACAGCCACAAGCGTGAGCTTTGATTTTCGCTTGTGACGTTGCAGTTTACACCGTTCAACGTTTGTGAGTTCATAATAAAACTCGTCAATGTGAGTACCCTGTGTGTAATACAGAATTACATGTATAACTGACGTAGCTTTCAACACACTTTACACGCGAAAAATATGTGGAATGTATGTATGTGTACAGTGTTTTTCTCTTCATACAGTGGTATCAAAATGGTGTTAAATATCTTGGTGATATTTGGGAGTTGATTTTTATATACTCTCCTATGCAGTTAATCTGGCAAAACGGTTTGGATTAATTTTTAATTAAACACAAATCATCACCGCTGACAAGACATATACATGTAGTACCGGACAAAAATTGATAAATTGTAATGTATTCGGAAGCATTGTTTTCTAAGGAGATTTAATCATAAACACATTGAAAATATTCAAACGGATTAATAAAGTTTTTGTATTCGTATAAATCATAGTTCTATAAGCTGGTTCCCCGCTAAAACAATATCAATCATAGTACTGCAAGTACTGGCAAGTGGTTAGCAACCCTGTTGTAATTTAAGCATTAATGAATATTTTGCATTAATATTTGATTTTGAGGTACAGAAGAGTGATTTGAAAAAAAGAGAAATTAAATATGATTTGATAAAATTCAAACCTCCACTGAACTTTTTATTAATTTTCCATCACAATCGTACAATATGATGACCTTAATTCTATAAAATATAACATAACAATACCTCACTATGTCTGTAATAGTTAAATCTCAGAGAATTAAGCCTCTCATGGGAGGGTATTTGAAATAATTACATAAATGGAAACAAAGAGTACAAATTATGTGTTTGTAAGCAATATTATTTTGACTTAATCTCTAGTCGCTCTCACCCGCCTTCTATAACATTAACATACCCATCTATTGAACATGTTCAACTCCTTTATAAGGAATGACTCTAATTATTGGCCATATTATCGAGCATATGCTGGTTTGGGTCGGTTTACGCTTTTTTATAATCCGCTTCGCGAAATTATGAAGTGTAAACTGACCCAAACCAGATTATACTTGATAATATGGCCAAGAATTAGAGTCATTCCTTAAATGTTTCTAACTTGGCTATGACGTCTCAACCGCTCAACTATGACGTCAAGTAGCCTAAGACTGCATTTAAAAAGAGACGTAAGCAGCAAGGAAAAGGAACAATCTAATTAAAATCAGACTTCTTAGATCCGCGCCGTATACACTCTGCGTAAGAGTGTATACGGCGCGGATCTAAGAAGTCTGATTTTAATTAGATTGGGAAAAGGAAAATCAAAGAAAATGTAATAAACAGAAAATTAAATGTTTTGTAGTTGAATAATTTATGAAATTTATTTCACTCGTGAGAAAAGATTTTTTTGATATTTCCACTCGTGCTTCGCACTCGTTAAAATATAAAAGAAAATCCTGTCCCACTCGTGACGGCTGTTATTCTTGTTTCATAAACTTGCATGTCAATAATTTACCTTGTTTTAGAAATTGTTCATACGTAGAGCATGCTCTTGCGTATTGAAACAAACTAATTTTGTTGATCAATGATCACTTTTCTTTTGTGCTTACAATTAAGCTTGCTTTATGATATAATTATCAAATTGCTTTTCTGTGATTGTATGATACTCATGTGACCATAAAGGCCCTTGGGCCTCTTGTCAAAAGGCTAATCGGAGATTAAATTCGACAATTTTAATTTGAAAGTAACATCAGTCAAAGTTGGCAGATCATTGAAAAATGTGAACGAACATACATAAATATTTACTAAACCTAGAAATGTTCTTAAATTGAATTTCGCTTAGAAACACTTGCATATGGTCCACGTATTATAGTCTTTTTAAAGGACAGCAACTTGTTTTTCTATTATAAAGGATCAAATGATATGCACGAGTTTATTCTCCCCCAAAAATGTATAAATTTGTTTGCTATGGGTTCAGTATAATTATCCCTTTCGAGGTTCAGGACAGCTGCTGAAATGAACGTAAGAATCTTATTGCATATATTTTACTTTACACACAAATTCAAACAGTTCTAGTTTACGATGCACTAGTATATCTAGTAACAACTAGATATGGTAAAGTCATTGATGATAAGCACGAGGATGAAGAAATTCTTATGGAATTTCATATTTCATAATGAATAATGTTGAGGAGATATTTTTAGTAAGTGTTTTGTAAAAGGCTCTAAAGAAGAAAGTGTACTTTTTTCTAGGTTTACATTTACATTCTCATGCTTGCATCCCTGGAGTCGTTTATTCACGCTCAAAACCGGAATGCACATCGTGGAAAAGAATTTGGACAGTCAAAAAAGTTAATCTTATTTTTTTTCATATTATTTATGGAAATTGAAATGTTAATAATGAAAGGATTTTCAAAAGTTAAACGATAGATTTTTTTTGAATAAGTCATTTTAGTTTAATAATAGAATTTATATATGAATCAACAAAGTAACAGAACTAAAGTACAGAACTTAAGTTAGAAAATGCCTTATATTTATATATATATTAAAGATTCCTCGGAAGTATGACATCCTGCTTTTCCCAAGCCCTTGTCACTTCTACGTTTATGACATTAGTAATGATGGTATTATAACTATGGAAGAAATTACCAACTTTTTTGGAATATCCGGCGCCAAAATTTTCAGAGATCTGGATAAAAATAAAGGTGTTGAATTGTCCATTTGTATAATTGTATAAAGGTCTTTATGAGTAATAGTTTACCTTTTTATAATTTAATTTAACTTGTAACACGTCATTTGATTGAATAAAAGATTTATCCATTTTGTATTTTGCTTCGCGGTTTATAAAGCGTAAACTGCCCCAAGTTATGTTATATCGGATAACATAAGTTGAAATAAGCTTCATTCCTTAAATGGAGTAGAGAAAAACTATTTACGATGACAAATGTACATTCTTTGTGTATGAATGAATATTTTTTTTATAGATGGAAAAATAACAAAATCTGAATTTTCCCTACAAGTTCCATTTGTGATCCAAACCCCAAAAAGGCCCTAGTATCTATAACCCCATGAAGAGCAAGATACGAATTGAAAAATCATGTACATATTCTGAATTCTGACATCCTAATTCTGAAAAACTTGTGTTATTTCTGCAATAAATGTTTATCAATTATTTAAGCTTTAAGTTCTTTTTTTATTCACAAATTAAGAATATGCAATGTTTTTTTTTTCTGTTTCAAAGACCAAATCTATAAAGCATAATTTTTTTTTCATTTAACTATCAAATTTCAATACTTTATTTATTAAAGATAATTTATTTTCTTACTAACAATTATTGAAAATTTCATTGCTAAAAGGTTACTTGAAAATTATGAAATCTTGAGTAGCAATAGAAACTATAAAATAAATAGCTTTTCGGAATTCCAAATTTAGGGTTATTGACAAAAGTTTATGTTATTCATGCAAAGGAAAGTCAATCGGGATTTTTTCAGGGTAAGGTAGAAATAACAGGAGGTCTTAAGAATGTTGGTGGCGTCATATTTAGATTTTGGAAGATCAGACAGAAAAAGGGAAGGAGGAAGGGGGGGGGTCAGACATGTTGAATCATACTCAGGTAGTGTACATTCAAATTTGTTCAAATTATGACCCCCGAGGGTAGGATGGGACCACAATGGCCGATCAAATTTTTACATAAGAACATATAGGGAAAATCTTTAAAATTTTCTTTTCACGATTCATAGGGACAGGAAAGATGAAACTCGTATTTAATAATCCTCAGGTAGTGTACATTCAAGTTTGTTCAAATCATGACCCCGTGTTAGGGTGGGGTCACAATGGCCAATCAAAGTTTTACATAGGAATATGAAGGGAAAAATTGTAAAAATTGAATCATACATTTTCTCTAAAGATGTTGTGTAGGATATTTACATGTGAATTTCTAATTCTGATGCTATGTATGTTCTATTTTTAAATAATATCTAATTCAAAATTTCAATATCAATATAGCCTATTGGGTTCTGAGCTTAAATAGCAAAAATTTGCAATAATGATCAATTGATAATGTTGAAATAAGGCTCTTTCTCAAGTCGAATATCTCATTTCACAAGTCTTCTTAGGTGGGTAAAAAATGTGTGGTTGAATTTCTTTTATATCATAAATAAAGAGACATTTTATATCCATGAACAAAAGATCAAAGTTCAGAAAAAATGAATATGAGGAAAAATTTGTATTATCGGTTGTGCCCTACCATAATTAGTGGAACAATGGAAGCTCTTCATAAATTTATGAAAATTATTTTTGAGAGAGTTACCTCTCCTGGTTAACTAATTGTTAGTTTTCATCTTTTTCACACATGCACATGTTAAACTATATTTATTTTCTAATCTATCTCTAAACTGTACTTAATGACAGTTTATGCGAATTAATTCATTGTCATAAAACCTAATTCCATGTATTGGGTTGAGTAAGGTTAGAATTAAGACAGTTTAAGGTACATGTAAGACACAATGAATGTAATCAAAACACAATTGTTCAAACTCTTATCTTCAAGAAGAAAATGTTAATGTTAAGGTGAAATTTGACGTAACGTCTTGATTTTACAAATCATATTTTATCAGATTATAACACGCATTCTCTGTAAGCACCAACGAATTTACTATAGGGCTTGGAAACGACATGTCTCGGATTTTGATGAAATTTTCACCATAGGTGTGTCTTGGTACAAAACTAATAAATATGGTGTCGGAAGTTCCACACGTGCACTTGGTTGCCATGGAGACGGATCCATTGAATTCGGCCATTTTTGGCCCATTTTGACTAAATGAAAACATGAAAATTGAGGAAATGTAAATGAATATTTATCGGTATCTAATATACTCTAACAAAAATCATTGGATCATATGATAACGCGAACGTTTAAGGTACACAGGGCATATAATCGTTTATTCTAGAAATATTCCTCCTGTAAGAAAAAAGTCATGCAAACTGACATGGTTTCTAAAAATTTGAAAAATGAGGAAATCGGAATTTTTTGAGATCTTAGAGGCTAAATAAGAAAAATTGTCCGCGGAAATTTCCCAAATCTTATGTGTGTTGGTATACTTGGGAATAAGTAGTGTCATCTCATGAAAAAACATAAGTGGGCTTTTGATCCTATTTTTAGTAACATGTATCTATAAATGTGAAAAATCAAATTTCGGCAAAGTTTTAATTGTCATTGCTGCATAATTAGAAAGTATTTTGCCAAATTTGAGCTTTTAATGACAAGAGCTGGACACAACTAGCTGGTATGGATAATGGTTGAGGGGAATTCCCATGTCTATTTTTAGTATCAGGTGGCTAAATATAGATAAGTCTCTGAATATTAGGAAAAATGGCATTTTTGTTCTAATAGGAAGCTTCATATAAAAAGTATTCACAAATATAAAGGTTTCTACAATATGCTTTAAGAATGTACATGTGTTTGTTGAAAGATTGCAACAATATTGAGGATGGACTCTTGTTCCTTTTTATGGCAACAATGGTCTAAAAATAGATTACTCGAAAAATTGAGAAAATGTAGATTATTACACCTTTTCGGGCACTTTATAGATGTAATTGCAGCATAATTAGGAAATATATTTTAAATTTGAGATGTTAATGACAAGATCTGGATACCACTAGCTGGTATGGATAATTGTTGATGGGAATTCCCATTTCTATTTTTATTGTCAGGTGGCTAAATATAGATAAGTCTCTGAATATTAGGAAAAATGGCATTTTTGTTCTAATTTGAAGCTTCATATAAAAAAGTCCTAGAAAATAAAAAGCTTTCTACAATATGCTTTCAGAATGTACACGTGTTTGTTCAAAAATTGCAACAATATTGAGCATGAACTCTTGTTTCATTTCATAGCAACAATGGTCTAAAAATAGATTACTCGAGTAATTGAGAAAATGTAGATTATTGCACCTTTTCAGGCACTTTATAGATGTCATTGCTGATTACTTGGTAAGTATTTTGTAAAATTTGAGATGTTAATGACAATAGCTTGACACCTTTAGCAGGTATGGACAATGGTTGAAGGGGTTTCCCAATTCTATTTTTAGTATCAGGTGGCTAAATATAGATATGTCTCTGAATATTAGGAAAAATGGCATTTTTGTTGTAATTGGAAGCTTCATATAAAAAGTTCTAACAAATATAAAGCTTTCTACAATATGCTTTCAAAATGCATATGTGTTTGTACAATAATTGCTACAATATTGAGGATGGGCTATTTTTAGTATCACGTGGCGAAATATAGATATGACTCTAAATATTAGGAAAAATGGCAGTTTTATTCTAATTTGAATCTTGAATTCTTAAATTAGAATATGTCTTTACAAATATAAAGCTTTCTACAATATGCCTACAAAATGAACACTTGTTTGTCCAATAATTGCTACAATATTGAGGATGGACTTTTGTTTCTTTTTAAAGCAACAATGGTCTAAAAATAGATTCCTGGAATAATCGAGAAAATGTAGATTATTGCACTTTTTCTGGCACTTTTTAGATGTCATAGCTGCATAATTAGGAAGTATATTGTAAAATTAATTTGAGATGTTATTGATAATAGCTGGCCACAACTAGCTAGTGTGGACAAAAGTTGAGGGTGGGTTCCTATTTCTATTTTTAGTATCATGTGGCGAAATATTGATATTAAGGCCATTTATAGGAAAAACTTAAAAAATCTTCTCAATTGCTCTGTAAACTAATTCCTGATTGTCCTAATTCTAGTCTTTGACAATGTACCTGTATTTTCATCTACAAGTTTATTTTGTTCAAAGACTTTTAATTTTTTTTAGACGAAGACTCAATGAGCGTATTCTATATGGCAGTTTCTGTGGTCTGCATATTTTTTTTAATAGTCACCATATTTCGAGAACCTTTTGTCATTTTTTTTCAAATTTGTCACAAAGTATCTAAGGATTTTTGTTAATTCCAAACATAGGGATTTTCTCTTTAAACAATAGGAGATAGTAGGGAATCTAATCTCTAATAACAAGATCTTGTTAAAATGCCATTTCACTGATCAGTTACAGGGTTATTCTCAGATGACTGTTGAAGCCCTATGGTCTCTTGTATAAGAAGGTACGGTTTGAGCTTTATTGTGCCTTAAAAAATAATGTTCTTAAAAAGTTGTGAAATTGGCTTTAACAATCATTGAGTAGATGATTATGATAAATTATTAAATATGACACGAAGGGGGGTCGTTCTGGATATATTACGTCATTAATTTGGTACTCTTCTACGTTTAATGCAGAGAAGCCTCAAAATAACTCATTTCTGTGCTGATTTTTCTTTCGCCACCGTCGCCCTCTTTAATTTTTGGATATATTATGTAAACTGCTATGAAAAATCACATACCGGGTTTCTCAAAATCTTTCTGGGCGAGAGTGGCAGAGTATATTTTCTGAAAGAAAATATTCCACTGAAAATTGATGTCTTCTGGCATTTTTTAAAGAAAATACGGGAAAATACACAAGTTAATGACGTCACAATTAGCATTTAGGAGGACATATGAGAAAAATGATTTGTGTATTTTTTCTGCAGGGAATTCTAGAGTGAGTTTTGATTTCAAATATCACTTTCATATTTTAGAAAAATATAGGGCTTACTTTGTATTGAAACTGTACCTTGTTCTTTGTTTCTATAAATAGAACTGGAAGTCCTCATTGATTT